CTTGGACTTAAGTGATTCTCTTGCTCACAAGTAGCTGGGACTATAGGCTCCTGCTACAATGCCCAGCTATTTTTAGAGATGGAGTCTCACTCTAGCTCAGGCTGGTCTCGAATTTATGAGCTCAGGCAATCTGCCCACCTTGGCCTCCCAAAGTGCTGGGGTTACAGGCATGAGACACCACACCTAGCCTGCTTTTGTTCCTTATGTATAAAATAGGAATAATAATACTTATCCATACTTGCTCACAAAATTGATATGTTAAGGAGGTAATAGATGGGAGAGAACTCTAAAAAGTTAAAAGTACTATGAGGTAGAGTTTTAGTATTAGAAATCATGTTTTACAATCAACACATGTGCAAAATTCCTTCTCTAGTTACTCTTCCCCTGTGCAGCAGAAAAGAAAAAATGTTGGACACCCCTGGCGAGGGATTCAGGTTTTCTTCTTTACACCACCCAGGTTTAGAGCACTATTACCATTGAGTAGGATGAAGAACTCTGTTGTATAAGATTCATAGTGCCTGTCTAAGAATTTAATTTGGAGTTCTTTAAGTTGGTCCTACCTAAAATGTATGGTTTGCTTAGATAATCAGATGGAATCTAGTTGTTCTAGGTAAAGTCCCTTTTGAAAATAGTTACTGCTCAAAAGGGAAGGAGAGGCTGGGTACAGTGGCTCACGCTTATAATCTAGCACTTTGGAAGGTTGAGGTGGGTTGATTGCTTGAGCTCAGGAGTTCAAGATCAGCCTGAGCAAGCGTGAGACCCCATCTGTAAAAATAACCTGGGTGTTGTGGTGGGCACCTGTAGTCCCAGCTACTTGGGAGGCTACAGCAAGAGGCTCACTCAAGCTCAAGAGTTTGAAGTTGCTGTGAGCTATGGCTCCACAGTACTCTACACAGGGTGACAGAGTGAGACTCTTATCTCAAAAAAAAAAAAAAAGGCAGGGGGAAGGAGAGGCTGGTCATGGTCACTCACACCTGTAACCCTAGCATTATGGGAGGCTGAGGCAGGAGGATCAGTCTAAGCAAGAACAAGACTCAGTCTCTACTAAAAATAGAAAAAATGATCTGGATACCTGTAGTCTCAGCTGCTCCAGAGGCTGAGGCAGGAGAATGGTTTTAACCCAGGAATCGGGTTACTGTGAGGTAGGCTGATACCATAATCCTTTAGACTGGACTACAGTGTGAGACTCTGCCTTAAAAAAAGGAGGGGAAAGGGGAAATTAATGAGAGTAGATCCCAGTAAGTCATTTATTTTATCTTTTTTTTTTTTTTGAAACAGTTTCATTTCGTCGCCCTCAGTAAAGTGCGTGGCATCATAGCTCACAGCAACCTCAAACTCCTGGGCTCAAGCTATTCTCCTGCCTCACCTTCCCAAGTAGCAGGGAGTGCAGGCACCTGCCACAATGCCAGGCTATTTTTTGTTGCCGTTGTCATTGTTGTTTAGCTGGCCTGGGCTGGGTTCAAACCGGCCGGCCTTGGTGTATATGTCTAGTGTCGTAACCACTATGCAGCGGACACTGAGCCTGATTTCTTTTATCTTTGTTTTGACATAACAGAAGAATGAAAAGTAGGGGCTACTTTGTATGAAGGGTATTTTCCCTAATACAAGTATGTGTTCACTAACGTAGCTCCTACCTACTCAAGAGGCTGAGGTGGGAGGATATTGCTTGAGCCAGGAGTTTGAGGCTGCAGTGACCTTATGATGCTGCTGCTGTATTCGATCCTGGATGACAGAGAGAGATTACATCTCACAAAAAAAAAAAAAAAAAGAAAGAGGGAGAAAGGAAGGAGTATATTTTCATTTGATCTTCACAATACATCCCTGAAGTTGGTTGATGGTATTATCCTCATTTTATTTTACCTGTTTATTTATTTATTTTGAGACAGAGTCTCCTTTGTCACCCTTGATAGACTGCTGTGGAGTCATAGCTCACAAGCAACCTCAAACTCCAGGACTTAAATGATTCTCTTGCCTCAGCTTCCCAAGTAGCTGGGACGACAGGCACCTGCCACAGTGCTTATCTATTTTTAGAGATGAGGTCTCACTCTGCCTCAGGCTGGTCAGTGCCTCAGGAAATCCACCTGCCTTGGCCTCCCAAGTGCTGGAATTACAGTTAGCCACTGCACCTGGCAATTGTCCTCATTTTATAGAGGAAAAAATTGAGGCTGTTTTCACTGCTTGAATGTATGAGAGAGATGGGTGGTGGTTTTGTTTTTTTTCATATTGTCTTACATGTAAAATGTAAAAAGAATGTTAAACATTTACATCTGAATGTGAAAAATGATTTATTAAAAAAGCAAGAGTTTCAATTTTTTTTTTTTAATCAGAAAACCTTAAAGACATTTTAAATAGGACCAACTAAGATAATTAAGATTTGGACTCCAATTAATTGGGTACCAAGGCTTATGCTGGGCCTTGGAGAATACAAAGATGAATCAACCATTATCCATCTTGTTGATCTTATAGACTCGATCTTACAGTAATGGGAAAGATTGCCATGTGAGGTCATGTAGTACTCTGTAAAAAGTCAGATGGAATTCCAGATGAGGTCATGACAGTGCTGGGGAAGGTTTTCCAGAGGAGGTAGTCTTTGAGTGGGTCAGATTGTGAATGATAAGTGAAATAGTGCCTGGTGGAAAAGAGCAGGTGGTTGTTTGCAGGCATAGTGGTGGTGGTGGCTCATGCCTATAAACCTAATACTCTGGGAGGCTGAGGTGGGTGGATTGCTTGAGCTCAGGAATTAGAGACTACCCTGAGCAAGAGTGAGACTCCATCTCTAAAAATAGCCAGGCTTGTGACTGGTACCTGTAGTCCCAACTGCTTGGGAGGCTGAGGCAAGAGGATCTCTTGAGCCCAAGAGTCCAAGAGTTTGAAGTTGCTGTTAGCAACTCCATGGCACTCTTCTGAGGGGTGTAGACTCTGTGAGTGTCTTGAGGAAAAAAAAAAAAAAGCAAAGGGCAGGTGGTTGGGATTGTAGCAGATGGCAAAACCTACACAAAGGCTTATTTACTTACATAGGCATTGACAGAGTATGATAGGTTATGATCTTTTAACCAGGCTTTCACCCTGAGTAGGGTGCCGAGGCGTCATCTAACTCACAGCAGATTAGTATTTTCTCTATAGGGAATCAATAAGACATATTAAAACAGAGAGGACAGAAGGGCAGAATGATGACAACAGTTTAAGGAACATTTTGAAAGAGATTCGAAGGAAGATTGGTGTTGCAGAGAACTATGACTAGGTTTTTTCCTATTAAATATCACCCAAATAATGAAAGGCTCTCTCTTCACATGTAAATGCTTAGTCTAAGTGACATTATTAATTAGTCAACATAATTATTCCATACATAAGAAATGTCCTTCTAATGTATTTCCCACTAAAAGTACTGATTCAACTTTCATATAAAATTTGCCATTCTAGGGGTGGCGCTTGTGGCTCAAAGGAATAGAGCGCTAGCCCTGTATGCCAGAGGTGGCAGGTTCAAACCCAGCCTCGGCCAAAAACTGCCATAAATAAATAAATAGGAAATTTAAAAAAAAAAAAAAAAGAGCAAAACTTGCCATTCTAAAGAGATATCTAGATATTTAATGTGAATATTTTAGATTATTAAATGTAGTAAAAAAAGTAATGTGTGATCGGCAGAAATGTTCAAATGATCTTGAAATAAAGGACTTTTAACAATTTTTGTTAAGTTTTTATTACATAGCAATACATATTTATCAGAAATTTAAGAAATAATAATAAAAAGAAAATGGATTATCTCTAATTAATAAAATTGTGGGGGGGGGATGTGTGCCATTCAAGTCACTAAGCAAAGTTTTAATATTCATAGTCCAGAATTCTAGTTAACCAATGGCAAAATTTATTATTTCTTTAAGAAAAACAGTCTCAGCGCCTGTGGCTCAAGCGGCTAAGGCGCCAGCCATATACACCTGAGCTGGTGGGTTCGAATCCAGCCCAAACCCGCCAAACAACAATGACGACTGCAACCAAAAAATATCTGGGTGTTGTGGCGGGCACCTATAGTCCCAGCTACTTGGGAGGCTGAGGGAAGAGAATCGCTTGAGCCAGGATTTGGAGGTTGCTGTGAGCTATGATGCCATGGCACTCTACCCAGGGTGACAGCTTAAGGCTCTGTCTCAAAAAAAAAGAAAGAAAAACAGTTTTCCAGGCAGGAGTGGTGGTTCACACCTGTAATCCTAGCACTCTGCAAGGCTGAGGCAGGTGAATTGCTTTGAGCTTAGAAGGTGGAGAACAGCCGAGCTAGGGTGAGACTCCATCTCTACTAAAAATAGGAAAACTAGCTGGGTGTGGTGGTGGGCTCCTATAGTCCCAGGTACCTGGGAGACTGAAGCAAAAGTATCTTTTTTTTTTTCCTTTTTTTTAAAGAGACATAGTCAGTAGAGTGCTATGGCCTCATAGCTCACAGCAACCTCCAGCTCCTGGGCTTAGGTGATTCTCTTGCCTCAGCCTCCCAAGTAGCTGGGACTATAGGTGCCTGCCACAACATCTGGCTATTTTTGTTGCAGTTTGGCCGGGGCCAGGTTTGAACCTGCCACCCTTGGTATATATGGGGCTGGTGCCCTACACACTGAGCCACAGGCACTGCCCGTGAAAGTATCTCTTGAGCCCAGGAGTTTGAGGTTGCTGTGAGCTACAGCCACAGCATCCTACCCAGGGTGACAATTGAGAGCCTGCCCCCCCCCCCCCCGCAAAAAAAGAGAAAAACAGTTTTCCATCTTCATATATATTAGTGAGTACCTTACTAAGTCACAGTTGAGAGTTTGGGTTAATTTATTGTGTAGGACACTGATTTTCTTTTAGTACTTAAATTAGCTCCTTCAGCTGATTAAAATTTTAGCCTGTTTGATTAAATATTAATAATTTGAGTTGCATTACTTTTACTACCAATTAGACATTCATTGAAATGCCAAAACAAGAAGAAACCTTGAAAACTTAATTTGATTTACCCTCTCATTTTACAAATGAGTAAACTTTTCTTCCAAGCTTTTGTTTCCAGTGACTTAATTGTTTAGTGTTTCTTTTGTTAAGCTCTCTTGATTGCAGTGCTCTTTCTTTCTGGTCAGACTGTTTTTCCACCTGTCAGCCAGTGGTATCAAAAAAAAGGAAACTGAAGAGAGGAGATAGCATATGCCAGAGAAGTAGAAAGAGCCAGCATATGTCCGGGTATAATCATATAACCAGCCTGGAAGGGAAAAATGATTTCTATTAGTGAAGCAAATATTTTCATGAATTATTCTCAGATATGAACCGTGTGACTTCTTACCGGTCTTATTTTTCATTGATAAAATCCAGTCAGTTCCACCTGAGTTAGAGACTTAACCCTCTACCCCCCCACCCATGGAAAAGTCATTGTGGACTCAGAATTCATCTCCAGGCTTGGCTCCTATGGCTCCAGTGGCTAAGGCGCCAGCCACATACACCTAAGGTAGCAGGTTTGAATCTAGCCTGGGCCCACCAAAAACAATGACGGCTACAACCAAAATATAGCCGGGTATTTTGGCAGGTGCCTGTGGTCCCAGCTACTTGAGGAGACTTGCTTGAGCCCAGGAGTTGGAGGTTGCTGTGAGCTGTGATGCCACAGCACTCTACCCAGGGGGATAGCTTGAGGCTCTGTCT